CCCCTGCCACCATTTTGAAGCTCGGGGATGCTGATACACGAGATGCAGGAGGCTGCTGGAGTGCAGTAATTACTGATTAATCAAGTCTGCTCCAACTCACTATAATTACAGAGCATTTAAGCAGCCTCTGTGCTCGTGCAAAGGCACTCATTGGCTAGAACAGTGGAGGCCAACCTTGTTGGAAAGTGTGCCCCAAATTAACCCCACACCTTTTCCACATGCCACTATGATCCCTCTCTCTTATCCAATCTGCTGCTTAGCTTTTGCTCCTGCCCTAACTGCCACTGTGCTGCTTGTCCTCTCCCCAGTCTGCCATGTGCTACTTGTGGCACTCAGGCTGCAGGCTTGGCCACCTTTGCACTATGGGATAGAACTAGTTCTTTTTTATTCATGATACATATTTTGGGGTCTCTAGCCACCCAAATGATAAAGATCATATCCATCTATAAGTCCTAATTTTGACTTTTTCATATCATTGTACTTTTCTGTAAAGGAAAGACAGATGATAGAAATGAATGTCCTAAGAGCATGGAACTCCCTGGAGCATGGAGCACGGAGAAGGCAGCAATGTCAGATACGCAGTCTGAGATGGAGGACAGTTACGAGTATCTGTGTGGAATACCAATGCCTCCGACTCTCGATAGCTTGTTGTATGAAGATGAAAAGGATTTCCAGGTATAGGTTTCAAAATCAGTGGGGCTTCTTTTATTCAGCATGACATTAACATATTGTAATCAGGGAAGCAAACCGCCACCAGGACTGGTTCAACTTTCAGCAGTTCAGTAAAAAGTGCTAATGGCTTGCACCTTAGTGGTCACACTGTATAAGCACCGAGGATGACTATCCCCACAATCACAGGTGCCAATAAGAAGCAGTCATGAAGTGAATAGTGCAGGCTCTCCTTTATCTGAGCCCCAGTCCTTTTTGACTATCATGTGCAGTATACAACAGCTGCTGAAAGGAAAGCAAATGATCAGGCTGCCGTTTCCAGAACATGGTGCCTGAGAAGAAGCTTTTGCTACAGTTTTCCTTGTGAAGGGCTGAAGGAGGAAAGCAGATTCAGATGTATTTCAGCAGTTGGACTAGTTGGTTTTTATGAAGTGCAGAGAAGAGAAATCTTAGAGGGCTGACTCTATCTTGACTCATGGTACCCCTCAGAAAATGACTGCTTAGCTTTCACTCATTTCTTGAATGCAGAAAAATAATAGGGCAATTCTGCTGCTGCAAAGATGCAGCGTAACAGGTCAGAAGGTTGATGCTGTTATGCATTCCTATTTGAAATCTCTTCTGTGCTTAGCTTGTGAATCATGTGTATGTGTCGGCACACCTGACAGTACTAATATTGCACAGCACCTTAGCTGACAACTGCTGCTGTAGAAGCTGCACAAAAATTGCCTGGTGGCAATATTATCTTTTATTGGCCCAACTACATGGTTGGGGTGAACTTAGACAAGTTTTCAAATGCAGTGCCTTCTTCTCCAGGCCTGAAGGAAAAGCAGGCACAAGCAGGGCTAAAAATAGTCTGCAGGGATGTGCACTGTCTGTTAATCCTGTCCCCAGTATGAAGAAATGGGGGTTGAGCACATAGTGGAAACAAGTGACCTCAGAACATTCCTGGCTGTATCATGGATTTCTTTTCCAAGTGGGAAATTGCCCTGCAAGGTTCCAAGAACTGCTTCTGCTCAGCAAGAGATTCTCTGTATGTTAGTGCAGAGAGATACTCTACCCAGGTCACTTGGTCTAGAGCTGAGGCAGTACAACAGTATCAGCATTGTCTGACTAGGTTATAGAGTCAGAAGGGACTGCCACAGTCCTGTGCTAATGCAGCTCTTCTGCCTCTGGCTCAGAATCTAACTTGGCTTGAGCTAGCTCAGGGCTCTTCTGCTGGCAGTCCACAGGTCATATATGGCTTGCAAGCTGCTACCCAACCACACTTCCCCTCCTTCCCCCTTATTCCCACTACAGTGAGGACAGGGTTTTCTGGGCTTCTTTCTCCAGCTTCTGGCCTCTGCTCCTGGGAGCAGGGCAGTGCAATAGGAGGGGACTGGGCTGCCTGTACTGTGCACATGGCAAGGGCTCCAGAGTGCCTCTGCTGTGCATGATGTGCACATGGCAAAGAAAGGAGCTAGGCTTTGCATGCTGTGCACATAGCAAGGGAGGTGCTGGGTTGTGCACATGGCAGCAGGTGATGGAGCTACCCATACAGCATGTCTCGCTGGGAAGAGAGGGCAAGGGGAGGAGCCAGGCTTCACTCACTGTACACACACCAAAGAAAAGTTTGGATAGCCCTGAGCTAGCTCAAAGCATCTCCGTCTTGTGCCATGTAGAAACACCGTAATGGACAAGCGTAACAAAGTAATAGGAGACGGAGCTCAGATATAGCTGGTGCAGTCCCCGATATCTGGTCTCCACATGAAAGATATTCCTTAGCAATTTTGTTCTTCTCAGGCTGTTCTACTGGAAAATATTCAAAATGTAAGAAGGTTGCTGGGTCAGGGCTGTAAGAGCAACACTTCCCAACAGCATAAGGGAAGTTTAGCCAGAAACAATTCCAAAAAGACTGATCTGCCAAGACTGTCAGGAGTGGTTCTACTCTGAAAAGCATAGGAAAGATGCCTGCTTGACGGACCTGTTTCTGTCAGAGCTTCATTGAGTCACTCAAGTGACAAAATAGATTTTTCTTACTTGTTACTCCTGTTGCATAAATTGCTGATTTTATCCTCTGGAGGCTAGT